TAGTGTTTTTTCCTCGGCTATTAACCCTTGACGACCAAAGCTCGACATCTGGCTTTTTCCATCTCTCTCATTTACCACGGGTATTAAGCATAAATTTTAACACACACACACACACACACATACATATACACATATCCGAGTAAATGTAGGAAACATAATTGGAAAAACTATTCAATATCAATACTTTTCTAATCACTTGAGTAATATGAGATGTACTCACTCAATTTCGTTTAAGGTGATGAAGGACTGGTAGAAAAAGAATTTTCCCACTCATTGACGTTTCCATTGAATTTCACACGGCTCCAAGACAATCCCGCTACAACTCCCGTCGAGGCCACCTTTCGAGTAGCCTCCACTCGCCTCTTCACATGAAATCAAAGTCATGTTGATATCACCCTCCGACTCAACCGGAGCCAAAGTCTCGAGGCGATTCTGATCTGCTGACGGTGTAGACGTTCAGATCTGGCGCCAGAAAAGGGTCATTCTGCGCCTGCCGATTGTGTTGCAATCGACGGAACGACGGGGCTCATTTGCGGACGCCTCGAGCTCAAACCTCAGGACTGTTGAGTGAGCAGAGTCAAGCAGAAGTGTGCTACTGTTCGAGTGACATTTTACGGAAGTGTGGTGCCAAAACACGTCTGTCAATTGTGACAGGACGGCACATTCCAGCATGTGTGTATGCGCATTCTACAAATCAAAAGTTCAACGATGGCGAGTCTTGGCCGACCCATTCACCGAGTCTCCACTCACAAACGCCAAAGCGACTTCTTTGAGCCAGACGGCCTGCATGCATCCGCAAATCCACAAGAGATTGCCCCTTTTTTGACGTGAAGCATAATTAAGCTTTGCGATTTCTTCACCCTTTATTTCATGTAAAGTAAGCAAGATATGCGAGTTGAATTGTCACAAAATCAGATGAGTAGACCTCATGTTTCCATTCAACGGCACTCAAGCGTGCTTTGCCAAAAGCTATTTTCATTTAGGCTGCAGTGGACTGCAGTTTTGTCCTCGTCTCAACTGGTCTCATCCGCCTCCTCCGCCGGACTAAAAACCATGACAATGCGGCCTAACGAAATATGATGAATGCATATCATGTGTCCCAATTATTGGCAGTTTTAAAAACCTACTTATAAGCAAGAAATAAGTAGTATAATCGAGTGCAACAGCAGAAACAAATTTACTTCATCGGCAATTACAC